CTCAGTGATTACCTCCCTCCAAAGGTAACCATTATCCTGGCTTCTAACAACATGGATAATTTTTAGTTAATTTTGAATTTTATACACATGGAATTGTACTTTATGTGCTCTTTTGAGTCTAACTTTGTTTGCTCTACGTTATGTTGACAACATTCACCCATGTTATTGTACGTAGTTGTAATATGGTCATTCTCATTGCTGTACGGTACTCCATGCATGAATAGACCACATTATAATTATCCATTGCATTATGAATGGGTATTCAGGCTATTTACAGTTTGGGGATACTACAAATAGTGCTGCTGTAAACATTCTTATATGCTTTATCTGATGGACATTTAGATGCATTTCTGTTGGGTACATAGAGTACCTAGAAGAAGAACCATGAAGTCAGAGTAGATAGGTAGCAGATATTGCCAAAACAGGTTCCAAAACTGTTGCCCAACTTACAGCCCCACCAGCAGTGTGGAAGGATTCCAGCTGCTCCACAACCTCACAATATGATATTGTCTTTTTTTTTTTTTAACCATTCTGGTGGGGATGTAGTGTTATTGATCATGGTTTTAATTGCATTTTCCTGATGACTAATAAAGTTAAGTCTTTTTCGTATGTTTCTTGACCATATCTGAGATATGGCCATGCTTTTGTCCATTCTTCCATTAGAATATCTGTTTTATTATTGATTTGTAGTTCTTTTATTATACAAAATACAGCCCTTTGCCAGATACTCATAGGGTAAATATTTTCTCCCACCTTATAACTTGCTTTGTCATTCTTTTAATGCTTTGTCTTGCTGAAGAAAAGTTCTTAACGTTAATGTAGTCCAATGTATTTATATTTTTCTTTAGAACTAGAGCCTTTGAGGTCCTGCTTAATAAGTATTTCCCCAACCCAAGCTCATGAAGATGGTCTCCTGTGATATCTTTCAGCAGTTGCATTGTTTTATCTCTCACACAGATGCCACAAGGCATCTGAGGTTGATTTGGTTGATAGACAGAGGAATGTGGACATCCCAGTGACCAATGCTCACATCCAATTGATTCAGAGCATTTTTTTAAAAGACCATCACTTTCCCACTGTACTGCAATGTCACCTTGTCATAATCATCATTTAAAAATTGTTTTGTTATTGAAAGAGCTCTTCTAGAATTATGTTTGATAAAACCTATTACATATCACTGTTTTGCATTTAAACAACATGCAAAAGGAAAACAAAAGCAAAATAAATAGATTAAAATATTCCTAGAACTTTCACTCATTCAGACTATGACTATTTGACTTTTCAACTTTTCAACTCAGCCGTTGATGACTGTTCTTCCAGAAAACGTGGTCCTCTGCCATCAAGAACGCTGGCAATGCAGCAAAAGGATGCTCCATTGTTGCCCCAGGATTTTCTGCACACTTTTATTTCAATGTGCAGAAAATGACATTAAACCATGTTAGCCAAAGCCACGGTGATTTTAAGATACATCCTGATTTCAGAATTGTTAAAATGTGAAAACATGGGTGGCTTAAAAATCAAAGAAGTATAGTTTTTGTCTCGGGTCAGGCTACCAGAAACCTAAAACAGACATTCAAGTGCATGTGAGGAAGTACTTTATGGAGGAAGTGCTTTTTAGGGAGAAAAAATATCCCATAAGGAAGGGAGGGAAGCAGGATGGGAAAGGGAATGAGCTAAGCAAGAACGTGATCTCGAGAGATCACACGGTCTGCTGCATGCTGGGAAGTGAAGGAGGGCAAAGGGGGCAGGGACGGCCTGTAGCCTTTTGTAACCCATGTCAATCACTGGCTGCCAGCAGCAGAGAGCAGGGTGTGTTGCAATCTCCCCTTCGAGTTTCCTCTCTCTTGACAAGAGCAAGTCTTTAAAAAAGGGATTAATTGTGATCTTTCAGCATTAACACTGAAAACAGCTGGAGGATGGATACATGGTAAAAGGAGTATAGGCTGGGCACCAGTAGTGTTCACTACAGTCATAATACGTAAAATTAACTGAGCACTTACTATGTACATAACAGGCACTCTCCTCCTCGCCTTTTTTAAAAATAAATAAATTTATTTATTTATTTTTGGCTGCATTCCGTCTTTGTTGCTGCAGGCGGGCTTCCTCTAGTTGAGAGAATCTAGTTGCGGCGAGCAGGGGCTACTCTTCGTTGCAGTTGTGCAGGCTTCTCATTGCAGTGGCTTCTCTTGTTGCGGAGCACGGTTTCTAGGCGGGCAGGTTTCAGTACTTTGGGCACGCAGGCTCAGTAGTTGTGGTTTGCGGGCTTAGTTGCTCCGTGGCATGTGGGATCTTCCTGCACCAGGGATTGAACCCATGTCCCCTGCATTGGCAGGCGGACTCTTAACCACTGTGCCACCAGGCAAGTCCCACACTCTCCCCTTTTAACAAATGAGGTAACTGGAGTTCGGAGAGGCCAAAGGGGATGATAAATGCTCACCATTAAAGGTACGTGGTGAAGTACCAGGGTCACACAGGTAGTCAATGGCAGAGTTGAACACAGGCAGTTTGATTCCAAGGCCCTTGCTGTTCATTTCTATACTGTATTACTTCTAAATAAACTCAAACACGCAGATAATCAAGTGCATTATTTACATGGTGGAAAGGAGAAGCCCCTTGGGTACTCAAAACTGGCCAAATGAGCAAGGCAGAAAGATTAAATACGATTTTAAAATGCTGATTGTTTTTCCAAAGTCACAATTTTGTTTTGTTCTCAATCCTGTTTTCTTTAGATTTCCAGACAGATTCTCATCTCATCTTTGAAGCCAAGGGAGATTGATAAAAGTAATTAATACTTTACCAAGTACCTTTAATTGTAAGCATTTATCATCGCCTTGGGTTTAGCCCTCTTGGAGAGTTATGAGTTGTCCTCCAATGTTTTCCACGTAAAAGGAGCAGTTAAGGCTTTGTCTTGGGATCATGGAAGATCTTTGCAATTCACATGACTGATTTTCTTACTGTGGCAATGATTACTTTGGTTGTTTGTAATTTTAGTTTTCGTGAGTTCCCTTTGACATTCAAAACCATTTTCTTCCTACATTTCTTCAACAGCTTTAAATAACATTTCATAGGCACAGACAGAAGAAAGCTAAGAATCACCTTTGTGTTTATCTGATGGACTTGTCCTCAAAAGAAGCACACAAGTTGGGTCTTTACAAAACTGCTTAGTCTCATATTAAAACATTCATCTCATTTTTTGGCCTCAACCATTGCCGATTCTTCTTCCTTCTTTCCCGTCCCTCCCTACCCTCCATAACCTCATCTGGAAAAAGGAGGCAGCACTTTAAAGTGACAAGCCTCATGTAAACCAAGTCAACATATAAATCTGTAGCCTAAAATACAAACCAGTGACCAAAGAGGCTTGCATTAGCACCCCCAGATCAATTCCGGGATACCCCAGGCTTCTCTTACAATGAGCAATGCTAGCCCGAGATTATCAGGGCTCTCCAGGGATTGTACTAAATCCCAAGGTAGCTCTTCTGGTTACAGCTGGTAAAGATCCAGGCCCTTGTAACTAAGTTCATGCTTCACAGCTGAGCCAATTAAGCAATCTAAAACACCCAATGTTTCCCTGATAGCACATATCAGAGGAAAAAAAATGGTGCTAAATGTTGGCAGGAATGAGCACTGACAGTTGTCTGCGGGCAGAGTTTCATAAAAGCCAAGGCACTCTAAGGACAAAACTGATCTCCATCTTGAACATTCTGTTTGGCCTTCAAATTGCAGGTAAGACATCTAGAGAAATGTAACAACCCACATTTGTGCCTCAGTGCCTGCCGTCCAGCATTTTTCACCATGCTTAGAAAGAGTCAGGGTCGGGGCAGGAGGGGTTGTTGTCTGCAGGACAGCTCAAGGTAATGATCAGAGGAGATAAGGCTGATCTCCAGTATCTGCTCACTTCCTCTTTTTAAGTGATTCTTTTCTTTATGCAGCCAGTGCCTCTAATTCTCAAGGGTCACCTGGTACTCTGGACCTCAGAAAAGAAAGGGGGAAACCCTTTCTTTTGTGTGACAGTTCAAAGAGATTTGAGCAGAAGTTAATGCCTCAATATAAAGAAATAGAATCCCTGATGGTGGTTTGGGGAGCAACAATGGCTGAACTTTTGGAGAGTAGAGGGGCCTTCAGGGTTCACACTTATGATGCCATACGGTCAACACCCGTCACAAGAAAAACTCTGCTGATCTAGAAATTAATGGAGGTGAAGACTTTTAAGGAGTCTGAAATCCTCATCTCCTACTCATACTTCTGTGTTTTTCCAGCTGCTGCCGCTGTGTTTCTTAATCTTGGCGTGAAAGAAGGTAGCTGAAGGTTGGATTCCCTAGTTGATGAATGTAGACCCGAAAGAGTACGAGGATTTGCTTCCGGGTGTAAGGAAATGGAGCAGTGCTGAATTTTTTCACGGAGATTCAAATGAATCTAAGTGTCTTTGTTTTGTAAGCTAATAAACGAATCCCCTTAATCCTGGAATAAATGATTCCAATATTTATAGAGCACTTAACAAAATGCCTTTTCAAATATTTTCTCATTTATCTTTCCATAACTCCGTGAAATAGAATGACCTGTGTGTCACCATCCCCACATAGAGATTAACTGACAGGCCCACACCTATGTAAGAGTTAGTGGATGAGTCAGGGTACAGCTCAGTCTTCTGGCTTCAAGCCTGCAGTCCTTCCGCCAAATCTCTCTGATTTGTAGGGTAACATAAGGACTCAATATTTGTGCTTCTAGCTGTGATTCTGAGATTTGAGCACATACTGAAATCTGTGACAACAGTTACTTCATCTTCTGTTTTTATGAGCTTGGTTTTAGAGATTGGTTTGTCGACCAGTCTATTCAACTAATTTCATGGGTCTCCACAATTTTTCTTCCTAGAGCTATTGGTTTTTGCCTCAGTTGGCTCAATTGATTCCCCCTGTCTTCTGTTGAAACACACAGATGAATGATCTCTTCCACCTGGGAAAGCAGTAAGGGGAGACGTTGAAATGACACAGATGAGATAGAGCAAGGGGAAAACAAGACAAAAAATCTTTTTTTATTACCTACAACTCAAAGGAGACTGCTTTTATGATAAAACTACTCTGAATAGCTTCTTTAAAATCCTAGTGAACAACAGTGAGAGATTATTTTAGTGAAAGGGCCATTTTGAAGAATTCAAGAGCAGACATGAAAAGCAGAGTCAAATCCAAGGAAAAATATGGTTGTTATGGGCAGTAAGCTGGATAAGCCATCCTCTCCTTCCTGGAAATCCTGACTTAGCTAATGGTTAGTATAGAAAACAAGCGTATTCTGTGCTTCATCAGTAGAATGGGTGCTTCACAAACAGAAAAGAGAAACATCCCCACCCTCAGAGACAATGAACCAGAAAGTAATGAATAATTCAATCTGATAGTGTGTTACTGCTGTGGAAGAAGAAAAAGCAGAGCAAGACATGAGGAATCAGGAGTGCTAGTATTTACGGCTTGCAATTTTAAACAGGGTGATGGGGTAGGCCTCAGTAGGGGAGTGATACTTAAGCGAAGACTTGAAGGTGTGATGGTTAGCCAGGAAAAGCCAGTGCAAAGGCCCTGAGGCAGGTTTGAAGAAGAGCAAGGAGGCCAGTGTGGCTGGAACAGAGAGAGCAGGGGGAGGTGGAACAGCAGGTGAGGTTCAAGAGGAAATGAAACCTGCCTTTGCCGGGCCTCAGAAGCCATTGCAAGGATTTGGGCTCTCACTCGGTGAGACCCACGCCTACATGTTTCTGAGGAGACAAGAGGCGCAATTGCCCCGGATCACTCTAGTGGCTGTGGTAAGAATACCAGGGAAAAAGGGGAGAAAGGATGAAACTGGTTTGGAGAACACTTAATGAATTCTTAATGTTTTCTTTTGTAGTCTAGATATTGCTGATACAACAAGTTATTATTACTCCCTTTTACAAATTTTTCAAAAATGGTCTAACATCTGCCTTAGAATGTGGAGATATTTGGAATCCACTGTTCTCAGCTTTGAGACTTCAGACAAAACCCAAGACAGGAAAAGTCCCATTTTAACCCCCTGGTCCACTCACCTTATGTTGCTGGAAGGGCTTCCCCTCCGGGGCCTAGCTATCCCAAGGGGCATTGCCCCTAATGTGTGCCAGCTGCAGGGGTTACCAGGTGATTTCAGAGTCAGCAAATCTCACTCTACGCAGGCCATAATCACCAAGGCCCTAATTGCATCTCACTTGTTGCCTATTGGATACCAGGAGCTGTGCTAAGGATATTTAAACACCTCACTCACCAAAAAAATCCCAAAAAAACCCCCTGATCTTTAAGAGACCATGGTCTAGTAGGAAAAAAGCAGACCTGTAAGTAATAACTCCTGTAGCAGGGAAAATGATGGGTCTGTCAAGCAGTGGATGAACCAAGTGCTACGGGAACAGAAGGTGGGGTGTTTCACTCCGCCTAGCTGACAGAAGAGGACTCCTCAGAAGAGGCAGCATTTGAGCTCTGCCTTGGACGTTCCACTGGGTTTAGACAAGTGGATGTGGGGAAACATATTCCAAGAAAAGGAAACAGTTTGACCTGAAGCATGATAGCTGGCCATTGGAGAGCATGTTCAAGGGGAGGGGTCTCATGGGGCTGCCTTGTTATCAAGACAAGGGCTGAGATGTGATGAAAGGTAAGGGGTCACAGGATGGGGGGTGGGACTGGGAAGTGTGCTGGGTGAAGGTCGCTAGGGGCATGGATGCGATGCCAGCAGTGGGGAACCAGCAGCAATATTTAGGCCGGGGAGTGATAGAATCGTATCTCAGATTTTAGGAAACGATCTGGAAAGTGAATAGGAAAGGGCAAAGAATCCCAGAATGGCATCGTTTAAGATAAGCGATAACAGGAGACCATGCTGGGGCGGTGACCCAAGACGGGGAAAGGAGGGGACAGAGTCAAGGGACATTTTGCAGGTAGAATATAAAAAAGCTCAAGTATGATCATCATGTAAATGACAGAGAAAAGAAGAGATAAAAATATGCAACAAAGTTGCAGTGACACCACTAACAAGCTAATAAACACTAGGGAGGGAAGTCAAGGTTGATGATCATGGTTTTCTGCCTATTAATACTATTTTCTTCTCTTAACAAATGCTTATTACTGTGCAGTGTTTCTGTACCACAAACATATCGTGCTACCAGACCTTGAATATAAGAAACCAGATCAGTAGGCAAGCAGAAAGAAAAGGCAAAACTGGGAAGGTGTAGGCAGGTCAGAGGCCACATTCCCAGAAATCGGTTACGCTCTCAAGCACTTCTAGAGATGTCCTAGGCAAGCAAGGCGGGAGTCCAGAGTCTGTAAGACCCAGCTGAGCACGTGGAAATGTTGCTCTGGGATCTCAGGACAATGGCCCTGTGCCCCTGTTTTGTTCCATGCTGCCCACGGAGGATGGAGAGCCCTGGTCAGTGGGTGTTTGTGGCAGCAGAAAGGTCGGAGCCTGGGATGGTCTCTACCATTGCCTGCGGGCTATCCCTGCTCCTAAGAAAGATACTTTCTACCAGACTTGCTCTTCCACATAAATCATATTTTGTCATGCAGTGACAAAAATATTCCATTTTGAATATTTTAAAACATATCAGCACATGCGGAAAATACAATACTGCGTTTTAATTACAGGGCAGCAACTTCCCCTGATAATGGGCCCTAGAGAACACAGGGAAGAAAGCATTCAGGCCGTGGAATTCCCTTACTGCCCCTCTTTGTTTTTTCTTGTCTTTGGAGAGAGAGGTGGAGGAGACAGAGAGAGGAAGAAGCGTTTCAGGGAGAGAAAGATGTGGGCAGATTAAAAGGAGGGTGGGAAGGCCAATGGGGAAAGAGCCAGGAAGAAGCTGAGGCCAATTAAAATGCCTCAGAGCAAATTCTGCATGAAAATTAGGAAGGAAGGAAGGAAGGAAGAAGGAAGGAAGGGAGGGAGGGAGGGAAGGAAGTAAAGGAGGAAGAAATAACATAACATATAACATAACAAGATGAGAAGTAGGGGTGTGGACCAAGCTCAAAACCGAACTGCAATTATATGTTTCCGTTCCACATGAGGCTGACCTCTAGGTCTACCTAGAGCGAGTGACAGAGGTAGAAACTGCATTTCATTTTGAACGAACTGTGCCTGGAATTAGGCAAGACAGATGTTGCCTTATTTATTGCCTGATTTTAGCAATTTCAAGCCAGAATTTCCACTGCACATCTGCCTCTTTTCTCCATTAGTTTAGAAGCATCAGCTTGCTCTTCTGCCACCTCGTCCTCTCCTCCTGTTTCCCCGAGCCCTTCTCTCAGCCTTCAGGCTGATTCCTGTGTCCCGGGTGCAGTCCATTTCTGGACCATTTGTGTGGCAGAAAGAGCAGCAGACACGTCAAGATCACGGTCCTTGTTTACTCTCTGTCTTTCCATCATCGCCAGTAGCTTGAGATGCCAGCTTTGTGTTTTGGACATAGAACAACTGGCAGATGCGGTTATGCCTGTATGACTTTCTCACCGAGGTTCCAGAAGGTTGAGACTCTGGGGTTCTTACAGATCTGTGGACAACTCCCAGGAGGCTATGCTGGGAGCGGGTAGTTTCTCTGCAGCCGGAATGCCCGCTGGTACAAGACTTGTTAAGTTGTGGCCACTTCCTTCATTTGTCTTGGCCTGATCTCCTCTCCTGTAAGAGAGGAGATAATGGCGCCAAGGCTCTTTTTAGGATCAGATGGGGTAGAGTATGAGGAAGTGCTGTGTAAACTATAAATGCTCAACCAGGGATTTTTCATTTGTGTTTCAGGAAAGCGTGGGATTCCTCAGGAGAGCCTCAGCGGATGAGGAGAAATGACCGGTCTGCCTTCCTAGCAGCCCACCCCCAGCTCAACCAGAGAAGGTTAGCTTCTGTTAGAGTTTTGCATACAATTTAATTCACAAAAAAGCATTCAGTAACCTTAAAAACTGGAAAACTGTTCCACTCCACAAATTATTTCTTTACTCCTACTTTTTCCAGCAGTCTATCCTTGGTTAAGACAAAGCCTTCCCTCACTCCTGCCCTGGCTTTTTTTTTTTTTTTTTAAACATCTTTATTGGAGTATAATTGCTTTACAATGTTGTGTTAGTTTCTGCTTTATAACAAAGTGAATCAGCTATACGTATACATATATCCCCATACCTCCTCCCGCTTGCGTTTCCCTCTCACCCTCCCTATCCCACCCCTCTAGGTGGACACCCTGTGCTATGCGGCTGCTTCCTACTAGCTATCTGTTTTACATTTGGTTGTATATATAAGTCCATGCCACTCTCTCACTTCATCTCAGCTTACCCTTCCCCCTCCCCATGTCCTCAAGTCCATTCTCTACACCTGCATCTCTATTCCTGTCCTGACCCTAGGTTCTTCAGAACCTTTTTTTTTTTTTTTTTGAGATTCCATATATATGTGTTAGCATACGGTATTTTTCTCTTTCTGACTTACTTCACTCTGTATGACAGACTCTAGGTCCATCCACCTCACTACAAATAACTCAATTTTGTTTCTTTTTATGGCTGAGTAATATTCCATTGTATATATGTGCCACATCTTCTTTATCCATTCATCTGTCGGTGGACACTTAGGTTGCTTCCATGTCCTGGCAATTGTAAAATAGAGCTGCAATGAACATTGTGGTACATGACTCTTTTTGAATTTTGGTTTTCTCAGGGTATACGCCCAGTAGTGGGATTGCTGGGTTGTATGGTAGTTCTATTTGTAGTTTTTTAAGGAACCTCCATACTGTTCTCCATAGTGGCTGTATCAATTCACATTCCCACCAGCAGTGCAAGAGGGTTCCCTTTTCTCCACACCCTCTCCAGCATTTATTGTTTGTAGATTTTTTGATGATGGCCAATCTGACCAGTGTGAAGTGATACCTCATTGCAGTTTTGATTTGCATTTCTCTAACGATTAGTGACGCTGAGCATTCTTTCATGTGTTTGTTGGCAATCTGTATGTCTTCTTTGGAGAAATGTCCGTTTAGGTCTTCTGCCCATTTTTGGATTGGGTTGTTTGTTTTTTTGATATTGAGCTGCATGAGTTGCTTGTAAATTTTGGAGATTAATCCTTTGCCAGTTGCTTCATTTGCAAATATTTTCTCCCATTCTGAGGGTTGTCTTTTCATCTTGTTTATGGTTTCCTTTGCTGTGCAAAAGCTTTGAAGTTTCATTAGGTCCCATTTGTTTATTTTTGTTTTTATTTCCATTTCTCTAGGAGGTGGGTCAAAAAGGATCTTGCTGTGATTTATGTCATAGAGTGTTCTGCCTATGTTTTCCTCTAAGAGTTTGATGGTGTCTGGCCTTACATTTAGGTCTTTAATCCATTTTGAGTTTATTTCTGTGTATGGTGTTAGGAAGTGTTCTAATTTCATTCTTTTACATGTAGCTGTCCAGTTTTCCCAGCACCACTTATTGAAGAGGCTGTCTTTTCTCCATTGTATCTTCTTGCCTCCTTTATCAAAGATAAGTTCACCATATGTGCGTGGGTTTATCTCTGAGCTTTCTATCCTGTTCCATTGATCTATTTTTCTGTTTTTGTGCCAGTACCATAATGCCTAGATTACTGTAGCTTTGTAGTATAGTCTGAAGTCAGGGAGCCTGATTCCTCCAGCTCTGTTTTTCTTTCTCAAGATTGCTTTTGTTATTCAGGGTCTTTTGTGTGTCCACACAAATTGTGAAATTTTTTGTTCCTGTTCTGTGAAAAATGTCATTGGTAGTTTGATTTGTTGCCAGGTATTTTTTGATTTCCTCTTTGATTTCTTCAGTGATCTCTTGGTTATTAAGTAGTGTATTGTTTAGCCTCCATGTGTTTGTATTCTTTACAGATTTTTTCCTGTAATTGATATCTAGTCTCATAGCGTTGTGGTCGGAAAAGATACTTGACATGATTTCAATTTTCTTAAATTTACCAAGGCTTGGTTTGTGACCCAAGATATGATCTAACCTGGAGAATGTTCCATGAGCACTTGAGAAGAAAGTGTATTCTGTTGTTTTTGGATGGAATGTCCTATAAGTATCAATTAAGTCCATCTTGTTTAATGTATAATTTAAAGCTTGTGTTTCCTTATTTATTTTCATTTTGGATGAGCTGTCCATTGGTGAAAGTGGGGTGTTAAAGTCCCCTACTATGATTGTGTTACTGTCGATTTCCCCTTTTACAGCTGCAGCATTTGCCTTGTGTATTGATGTGCTCCTATGTTGGGTGCATAAATATTTACAATTGTTTTATCTTCTTCTTGGATTGATCCCTTGATCTGCCCTGGTTTTTGAAAGGAGGATAATAGTCCTTCCTTAACTCCAGCCACGATCCATCACTGCTATCGATCTCCCTTTCTACTGTGTGACCTTCGGAGAGGGTGGAATACAAGGGTCCCCACCCCATGTGAAGGACCCTTCGGTGTTCTAGAATGTTCATCCGGTTGCCCTTCAGGTCTCTCTCCTCTCAGCAACATCGCCCACTTCCTTTCTTATCCCATCGAGGTGTTTCATTGGAGCCCTTACACTGCAGCTCCTGCCCGCCCACCTGCTCCCTCCTTGAGTGAGCAAGCCGGCCAGAGAGGGGTTACAAGGCTGTGTCCACACAGAAATGCCACAGAGTGAACTTCAGAAGGGCCTGAGAGCCAAACACAGGAGGGGTTGGGGAGGAACCCATAAGGAGGGTGAGGACAGAAAGAGTAAGAGGCTTGAGAGGGTTGGAGAATGGAGGCGGGGGGATGGGGTTGGGGTGGGAAGGCACCCCTCCTGAAGCAGGGAACCCCCCCTCCGCTGGCCATCCTCTCTTGATGACCACCTCCCCTGACGGGACACTACCCCGGGACTGTGCAGTCAAACAAGCCAGCCGTCTCCTCTGCCACATGCCCCCCCGCCCCGGCCTCCCTTCCCTGGGCAAGGCCCTGCATGAATTTATAGTTTGATGCTTGGCCTCCCTCACCTTCCCTTTCTAATCCCTCCCCCACAGCCTCCCCTGTCCAGATTCATTCATGATGAGGTGTTAAGTGGCTTAATGAGTTGCCCCTCTTGAGAAAATTTGTACTTTTAAAGAGGCAGCTCCAGCTCGGCTAAGCAAACATGCAACACAAGGGATGCAACATGAAGACTTAGATGCCAGCATTAGGCCAGCAGGGGTGGTAACTGGCTGCTGAAAATCACAGCCCAGAGAATTCTGCCTTCTCTACCCAACACCTGTGACACCTGTACCTGACACCAGTTCTTTGGCTGACAACTCTTTCTGTATATTCGGTTACCCACCAAGCACCCCCCAGCCCGGCCCTCCTTCCTAAAAAAATGCCCTAGCCCTTCTTGGGGGTGGGGTGTGGGAGTGTAAGGCCCTCTTCCACAGCCTCCCATCTATCCCCTCTTTTCTATCTCTCCTAGTCATGCCAGGTTACGGCTAGAAAGCTGCAGCCTCTGAAAGCATGTAATGAAGTAAGACGAAAAATGGGATGGCTTGGTTGCTACATTGATGAGCGTGCCATTCTTCCAATACACAGAACTGCAGAAAGCATTTGAACATAGTACATGACCTTCCATCCATCCAGCCCCTAGGACAACAATATAACTTGCTTGGCCACCCGGATTCCCCTGAAAAATTTTAGAATTCTGGTCTATGGGCATATTTAGGGCCTGTATTCCTTGGAATAGAGAATTGTTATTTTCCATGAGAATTGCAAGCATCTTTATGTTTATTTTAAGCTGTCTATTCTCTACATTCGTAATTCTTTAAGTATTATTATGGCTTATCTGGGACTTAAGAACAAGAAAGAGGCTACTACTCTGAAGTAAATAATGTCATATGTAAAAAGCTCTAGCTGGGTAAAGAAATTGTAAAGCTAAAGAATTCAATTCAGTTTCCAACTCCCTCTGGGCTATGTAACCTTACAAACCCTTTGAGGCAAGTTTCGGAATTCCAGCAGGGTTGACTGGAATATTTTTTAAAACGTTGCTTGAATTATGTGGGGATGTGGTCCCCAGGATTCCACAGGAGATAGTCCAAGGTTATACTATCATTTTCCCACAAGCGAATGTCTTCTGGATTCAAGAAACAATCCACCTCTAAATGAATGAATGGTCTCAATCTATTGACGAATCCCAAGAAGTCATTTTTTCCCCACCCCAGTTTCTTAATAGAGCACCCATTGCTCGTTATCATCGGAGCTTAAAACTTAAGTTCATTTAATGTTTTCTGTACAGACTTGCTCCCAGATGCCTCTGATGACCTAAATGCTGTGGTCACAATCCACTGTTGTCAGTTATCTGGGAAGCTCCCAACACAGCAAACTGAGGACAAACACAGAATTCTTTCAGACAGTCATCTGGAAGGAGAGAGGAGGACCGTCCTGTCTCACAGGGTTGGCGCTGTCATTTGGCATCTGCACTGCAAGCCTAGCTAAGTCACGCTGCCTTGAAAGATGCCTAATGAAGTGGCCAGAAGTGAAACAAAAACAGTTCTGCCCTCCTGTGCCTTGGCTGTGGTTGTGAATACCTCTCTACAGGAGAAGAGCTAAAAATATTTTCAAAGTGATAGTAACTCCTTGCCCCTGAGCACAAACACATTGCTTACAATGTATAAGCTACCTTACTGTCATAACTCCTGCATTGCTGTTTATGCTGTTACGAGAACAAGGTATATTCTCATACATTATCGTATTCAGTCCT